GCAGAAAGTGAAGAAGAACTAAATAGCCTCTTGATGCGGGTGAAGAAGGAGAGCGCAGAAATTGGCTTGAAACTCAACATTAAGAAAACTAAGATCATGGCATCTGGTCCTCTCACTTCCTGGCAAATAGATGGGGAAGAAATGGAGGTAGTGACAGATTTTATTTTCCTGGGCTCCAAGATCACTGCAGATGGGGACTGCAGCCAAGAAATTAAAAGACTCTTGCTCCTGGGGAGGAAAGCTATGGCAAATCTAGACAGCATACTGAAAAGCAGAGACATCACCCTGCCAACAAAAGTGGGTATAGTCAAGGCTATGGTTTTCTCAGTTGCAATGCATGGCTGTGAAAGCTGGACCATAAGGAAGGCTGAGCGCAAAAGGATTGAGGACTTTGAATTGTGGTGCTGGAGGAGACTCCTGCGAGTCCCTTGGACCGCAAGGTGATCAAACCGGTCAGTCCTAGAGGAGATCAACCCTGACTGCTCTTTAGAAGGCCAGATCCTGAAGATGAAACTGAAATACTTTGGCCACCTAATGAGAAGGAAGGACTCCCTGGAGAAGAGTCTAATGCTGGAAATTATAGATGGCAAAAGAAGAAGGGGACGGCAGAGGATGAGGTGGCTAGATGGAGTCACTGAGGCAGTTGGCGTGAGCTTCAGTGGACTCCGGGAGATGGTGGAGGACAGGAAGGCCTGGAGGAGTGTTGTCCATGAGGTTGTGATGGGTCGGACACGACTTTGCGACTAACAACAAGTGGCCGCTGTTCTGCGTAGAGTTAGGAAATGGAAGAGTTCCAGGTGAGTTTGGAGGCTACCACTGCCTGTTGTTTGGCTTAGAGTTATTCACTGCAGCATGCTGTGGGATAACTGCAACCAACACTGTTGTCCTAGGCGGGTCCTTTTGATCAGTTGGTAGCTTGTCTCATTGTGGTTGGGCTCTCAGCTTCTTACCCGAACTGGCTGAATAATGGATTGCTCGCGTCTTAGTTTTTCTTGTCACCCCTTTAATTTGCACACATTGCAAGATGAAAGAGGTGATGTTCTAGCCCATGCACCTATTTTGAGGCCTTTCCCTGAGAATTCTTTATGCTAGAAAATTTGAAGATGTACTATCCATTTGCTTATAATATGCAGTTTATTTATTTAATTAATTCATTTATATACCACCTAGTGGAAACATAGAAGCATAGCAAGTCAGAAGGGGTATCATGGGCCATCTAGTCTGACCCCCAGCACAAGCTGGCTCTGCTCATATAAAGCCCAACATGTGGGTGTACAATATAAAAATAGCTCAGGGTTAGGGTTAGGGGTAGGATTTTATTGGAGGACCCAAACCCATCAGGATTTTATTGGAGGCCAGCTCAGTGCAATGGGCAACCCAATATTATTTTATAAGTCAGAATTATTCCAGAAACAGACGAAAATACTGTGTTGTTGGAAAAGCAGTTCTCAGTCAAACTAAATGTTAAATATTAAACATAGTTATAAAAGAGGCCTTGGATAAAATGAAAGTTCTGGATTCATTGTGTTTACAGATAGTTTCTTCCATTAATCAAAATGATGTTTCTTTGTTTCTCAATACTTCTCAATATATTTTTCTGTTCTCTTCTAGAACCTGGTTCTGATTAGTGAAATAACTATGTCAATTTGTAGCATTCTTCATTTGTCTATACCACATTGTAGCACCTTAGTATTTAGGTGAAAATGTATTTGACTTTCACAAACACTGAAGTTTGGAAATAACATTGTATCTTTTTTATGAATCTTGGCAGACTCCCTGGGTTTTAATTAAATCTCTGATAGGAATGGCAGAGGCTACAACATTATATGCATTAACTTCACTGGACTGTAGTTGCACCCTTTCAAAATACAGAGTTGTGGACTAGGCATTTTGCTTGCATTAGCTTAATGGACTGATCCTTATAGCACTGTATTGCCATTTAAATGTGAAGTTATCACTTCTCCCTGCATGACCAGTCAGGTTGGATTAGGCTGGCAGAAACTCTGCTTTGTCTGTTTTCTTGAGAAAGGGGTCATCAGGTACAGCTTTCTTTGCTCAGCTTTCTGTGTTAATGTCAGTTAAATGGAACCCTTTCCCTAGTGATGCTCTTTGGTGCAGTCAAATTCGTGGACGAAGGCTTTGAGTGTTGGACTGGGACTTACCCCCCTACAGTGCAGCTCACGGGTTGACTTTGGTAAGTCACTGGCTGTCAACTCACCACACAGAGTTGTTGTGAGGATAAAATGAAGAGGAGGACCATTTTTCTCTCAGGAGGAAACCAGGTGAGGTATCAATGTAATATTAAATAACAATAAAATAAAATAAGATTTATATCATGCATTGTTAACCTTTCCAAAGGTTAACAATGCGTGTGTTTGTGTGTTTTCTGCTTCTTGGTTGTTAATGTAAGCATCCTTTGCTGACATTCATGTTTTGCAGTGATGGTGTTTATTATGTTTGTCATTAACCACATTAGTTGTTGTCCCAGGCACTAAAATATACTTTCCTGAAGTGGTCCATTTTGTGCAAGAGTTACAGCCTGCAAAAGTAACTATTTCTGACGTAGTGTAATTCTGAAGTGTGATAAAAATATAAATATGTTAGCTCTCTCATTTTGCCCTAATAAGAGGAGAAAAACCCTTTAATAACTAGCAGTTTGATACTAACCCTAACCTCAAACTAGGCAGACAATTATAAACACTTGTCACATGCCGCTAACAGAGAATGTTTTTAATAACCTTTAGAATTTGCTGCCACAGGATGTGGTGATGGTAACTCACTTACATGGCCTTTAAAACAGAATTAGACAAACCCATGGAAGATGACTCTGTTAATTCTATTAGTCACAGCAGCTTAAAGGAAACTCCATGTACTATAGCAATTAATCCTCACAACAGCAGATCCTGAGAGAAAACAGTGGACACCATATTTATCACTGTAAGATAGACCTTGAGTAAGGTTTCTTCACTTCATGTTCTGCTTATAAACAGCAGAGTCATCTCAGTGGCTACACCTGGGAATAAGTGGTTGGAAAAAATGGACCTTTTGGTTGTATGTAATGATACTCCAGAAACTGCTGATTGCTCATTTATCACAACCATGCTTCATTCATATCTCTTTGCTCTTTCCTTCTCATGAATGGATTTAAAAAAAATCAGAAAGAGGACTCTTTGCCTGATATTCAAACTCAGGCTCTAGTCTGTTGGCCCCAAACCATCCAGGATCTATAAGACAACGATAAGTCTTGATTTATTCCTAACTTGCAAGTCTGGAGGCAGCTATCCATTCCTGGTTTGTTTTACCTGCTTGCACAAAGGGAGGAGCAATCTGGAAGTAAACAAGCTGCATGCTCAAACATGATGCTTGCTCACTGTAAACCAGGATAAGCTGATTTATAAACTGGTGATACCAGTTGATAAATTCTTATGTGCAAATGTGGCTGTGGTCTGATCCAAAAAGGGACTTAAGATTTTGCAAGCATCCATTCTGTATTTCATCCTTACAGCTTTTAGAGCTGCCTCTGTCATCCTGCAAATCCCTCTTCAAAGCCCACCTTTTTGTGAATCATTTGGCTGAACCCTTTCTCTATTGAAGTTTAATTACCTGTATCAAAATTGATAGGATCTGCTTCCTGTGTTGTTTTCACCTCCATCATAAGTGGTACTTCAGTTGCATTATGTGTCAGAATTTATATTTCATGCTCATGCTGCCTTGTTAGTAAAGAGCCATGCACTTTGATGACATGTTATACAATTGATTATTTATACAATGCTTTATAAAGAACAACAACCACAAACCTGAATGTGTCTGGAAGCTCCTCACATACAAAATCTATAAAACTTAAACAGGTCCGTGACCAGAGTCCACAAGTGCTTGGCATGTGGTTAATTTCTGATAGTTTCACTTTTCTGAATGAGCTGTGGTTTCAAAGATTAAAGACTTATAGGATGAGTTTGGAAATTAATGGAGCGAATGGGGTGCAATAAGTATTACCAAACACTGTTAGAAAAGAAGCCACATGTTTCCTTAGAAATTAGTAAGCTTGGTTGCCGTGTAAGGTATCCAATAATGAAATTCTCTCTGTGTGTGAATATGTTTTCTAAATTTTATGTAATTAATGAGTGCGTTGGCTAGAGTTCCTATTGAGCTCTAGTGAAAGCCCTCCAGGTTCTGAGTCATTGTCAGGTTTTCTGTATATGTGTGTAGGAAAGACACGATCTATGCTTTTGTTGCTGCTGATCTGTTCTTGTCTCTCATCCATGGTAGAAAGTGTGTGTTAGTGTGACTGCATATGTATGCTGTTTGTGTAAAAGATTAAAACTATAACAGGAAACACTTTTTCAGGAACATAAAAGTGTGGAAGATTATGATGAAAGGGTTTATTACCTTGAGCCACAAATGCATATCAATATCCTGAATCTTTTGCTGCTCGGTTTTAGATTAGTAACTGGAAGCTTCAATTAGGTTGTGTTTACACGGAAAATTTTGATCCATTTTGATGCAACTGTGCATAACCAGATAGTATGTGTCTGGACAGAGGGCCAGTTTTCAAAACCTAGGGTGATGCTGCCAGGGAAATGCTCAATATGTAGCCCTGTATAAGAATAGGAATATTCTTAATCTTAGTGACTTCTTTTCCCAAATCAAGCCTTTGTCTAAACCTTACCCTTCAATAGCACCTAAATCTAAATAATTTTGCTGTATGGTCCACATCTCAGATGTAAAGTTTTGATGCCTTTTGGTGCAATGTTCTGCACCATGAGAGAAATTGCAGTAGTCTCCATAGGGTAGAGCTAGAGTTCTGATAAACTCTATCAATCCGCATCTGAGTTACAAACACTGTCTGGGCCATTGTGTACTATGTGCCATGCCAATCAAAAATTGGTTGTTTGAAGGACCTGCGATGCAGTGAACTGCAAGCCCCAAGCTCCTGCCCCCTATGACTTCTAAAAGTATTGTTGAATATTGCATGGAATATTGTAGCTTGTCAAAAGCATGGTGACATTAGTGTCCATCACTTTTCAAGTTGCTTCTGATGAAACAGTTCCACATGACTGTCTCTGCAAGAACATGAAGGTACTGCTTAAAGGCAGAAGATCAGCAATTGTATGACTCTACCCTCTTGCTACTACTGAATTGTGCATTGGTGTATTTGGTAAACAGGTATGTGTTATCACTGATTGTAAGGAGATGTCTTTGGAGGAAGTGTCCTTGGGATTAAAGCCTTGGGTGTGTGGCAAAGATTCTGTGTAATAGCCACTCATCTGATCACCCATGATGAACAAGAATTATTTCTAATTGAGCACATAGGGTTCCCTTTGTAAATTAGGAAACTGGAAACAGCAGTTGTGTTTCTTGTTTCTTTATTAAGAACATTGATGTGTCCTAAATGGATGCCTTGCATCAGTATGGTTGGACCAGATGAATAAAACGTCTGTTGATTAGAATGTTTGTGGTTACATTGCCAAGCTTGGATTTTTTTTCAACCAAGTAAAAATAATTTAGTAAAGATATGGATCATGTTGGGTTCATGTGAAAATGAAAAATTGATCACTGTTGGGCCAGGTCCACACATGAATGTAGAGTGATTATGCCTCTTCAGACTGTAGATGGGAAATATAATTTTTAAATGTTCCCCTATGCAAAAGCTTAGCAGCATGGAAAGGAATACAAAGCTAGCACACCAGGAATAAAGGTTCGGGCCTACGTCCTTTGTCGTGCAAATGTTCTACCTATAACGTAAGTGTGTGTGTGTGTGTGTGTGTGTGTGTGTTAGGAGAAAATTCATCAGTGTAATTCCCCCATGTAATCTGCAGCGGTGTACCGCAGGACATTGTTATCTCATTCCCACCTTATTGTTTTGCTCAAAGAGGCCAAGTCCTTGCTTGCTTTGGTTGGGCTCAGAATAAGATTAAAACAAACAAAAAACAAACCTGAAGAAAGACTGCTGTTGTATTCTAAATATGGACACCAATGTGCGTGCTGGGACAAAGTTAACAATAGATAAGTAATGAAAAATGGGAAAGTCAGTTTGTGTTAGATGTGCACTCAAAAGGTGAATGACAAAGTCAGCTGTCTGTGCAAGCAAGCTCTTAATTCTTTCTGTCTATTGTTCTGTCTTCATGGCTTACTTCTACAAATCCAGGACTGGGATCTTGTTTTAAAGAGGTTTTTAAAATCAATAGTACATTTTTAGTTCTGGGTGAAGCACGTATGTGTGAGCATCTTTTCTGGCATTTTTGGCAGTCTCTGTTATGTTATAGGCTGGTTAAGGAAGTGTAGTGAGTTGAATATGCAATGATTGAGAAAATATTCCATTAGTAGGACAAACAAGAATTTAGATGGGCTAAATATGGCTAGATCAGCCTTTACCAGCTTTCTCTGTTATTAACTGGATGTTGCCCAATCAATAAATAATAACACTTTCAGGTATACATAGGCCTTACAAAAACAAAAAGACTGAGAATCTCAATATTTCTCAAAAGGGAACTTTATATGCAAACAGAAAATGGCACTGAATCAGTAAGAATCAAAAGGCAACATGGTTTGGTCTGCCCCACTTTTTCATATAGCTGTTTGAAAATGTCAGCCCAGACTTGCATAAATTAATTTCAGAGGTTCCAGTGGTTTAGAAAGGGGCTGAAAATGAAGCAGGAACTGCCATATCAATCTAAGGTGCAGTTATATTTGGAAAATTTTATACAGTTTGCTTGGCCCATAGGAACATAGAGTTACATTAGAGGGAGTAGGTTCTTTGGCAGAAGCATCTTCTGTTTGAGAATGAGAAACCTTTTATACACTTGGGCCTTTTAAATAACTTATCTTACTGTTTAGGCCTTTCAGTGTATAGACAGTTGATAATCCATGTTCTATTTCTGTTTTCACTTTTCTTACTTTCATTGTTTTATATTTACATTTTGTTAGCCTGGAGAACTTGCCTTATGAGGTTGCAATACAGTTCGTCCATCCATCCTTGTAGACTTGCAACGTTCTGGGAGGTTCTTCCATCGCTCTCTCTTTTTCCAGTTTTAAAGCTTTATAAACTCCCATGTTAAAACTTGCACCTTTCTTCTTGTGTTCTTAGCAAAATGTTTCCTATATTAGTATTTTCCCTTGCCTGTTCCTTCATGCTGAGCAAAAAGCTGTAGGTCTGGAGTGTGTAAATATGCATGTGAGAGATTCACCTTCTTTCACATTTAGTTCAGGCGTTTGTTTCTTGTATACGGAAACTAATTAAACATTAGTTTAATTGTGGGGAATGGCAGTGGCAGTCATGGCAGAGTTTGTCAGTTTAGCTGTTCAGTACTTTTCTGGGCCAACGATTATCTCTGGTTACTTCGGCAGCCACTAGTAGCAGGCACTTAAGAAGTGCTGAGGAGTCCAGGGATTGACCCCTGCCCAAATTAAAGGCATAAAGCTTCAGCCAGCTCATGCTATTTGTCACCTCAGGGGTGCATGGGTCACCATAGTTCCATAGCTGATTTGTATCAGCATGAGAATGAAGAAGCCAAGATGAGCAGTCATGTTCCATTGTCTTCACACACAGTTCCATCCTACCACTAAAGCACATAGCTAGAATGGTTAAGTTCCCCAAGTAGATTTTGATCCAGGGCTGAAATTCCACTCTACCTTTCTTTTCTTTGGATCAATAAAATCACTGAAAATATTAATCTTCTGTGGCCCTCTACCCACTCAAGCTTAGCATAACAAAAATAAACAACTTGCTACTTAGAACAATTATTCCTGAACAGCAGCAGGGGAATGATTGGTTTCACCTACTGCTTGATCTCTACAGTCAGCCAGTGATATCCATATAGGTGAACTATCTGACTGTTGAAGGGGAATTTGAAGCAGCAGGCAAATTCCAGGATGGCAGAGACTTCAAGAGACGAAGTGAGTATGCAACATTTAACAACAGTTAAATATTGTTGGTGGATTCCCTTAGTGCGCAAGTCATTTGCATGCACTTGTCCTCAATATTCTTGTTTTACCATTGGTTTTGCCTTTCTTTACAATTCTTGATTTCCCTGCTTTTTACTTGGCAAGGTCTGAAGTCACCACAAGGCAACATTTTTGATGTGCTATGGTTTCGGCAGACTGAAAATTGGCTTCTTGTGATTGTGCAATGCAGAGCAGCTGGGGAGTCTGTTGATTCTAAAGTCCGGCAAAGCCATTGCAAAGAATCTCATCATGCAACCATAGCCTCTCCTAGGCTCTGCGTGGGTCATTGCATCCTGCCTCCAGTACTTTTTCATATTGTGTAGAATAGGGAGGTTTCAATAGCAATGTTCAGGCCACACATTTCATTCCACTGATAAAGCCTTCATTACGTGTGGTACAACTTTTCCCCAAGTGGAACACTGCTTCCACTTTTGCTACCTGTGATCTGAGTCTGTGCCCCAGAACATGACCAGCCCTTCACTGTGGGTTTCCATTGGATTGAAAAAGTGAGCTGTAGTGGCAAAAACTTTCCCCTTTTCCGTTTTTTTTAGTGAAGCTGGTCCACCATTAATGTTCTCTATGCTTTGAGGAAATTTGAAACGCTAAGAATTCTTGTGCTAGGGTTCCTTGGCACAGACTGAAACCACTGATACAGCAGAATATATGTGCCAATGCCAAAGGCTCTCTCGCTCGCTCGCTCTCTCGCTCTCTCTCTCTCTCTCTCTCTCTCTGTGTGTGTGTGAGAGAGAGAGAGAATGTATGCACCTTTCTATCTGTCATTATTCATAATTGTTAATTATCTCTCTGTGTTCTCTATTTGCATGTCTTATCTCACTGTATCATCACTTGAGTATCTTTACAAAATTCTGGTTTGTTTGGTTGGTTGTTTGTTTGTTTTGGATAGTTTTCTGTGGAACTCGTGTTTTAAGAGCAGGGCTGGTGCAAGTTCTTTAAGTTTGTTTCCCATGCATGTTGTTGGTGGTATCCTCACTGAGTAATTAGGATCCTGCTAAGAATAGTTAATACTGAACTATTATTAATTATTGAAGATGAGATGATGGGACGATTGACTAGTATGAGTCAGTATTCCTAAACTTCTTCATCTTGATGAATAAAGATAAGGAGGAGTGTGGTTTGATGTGTTTGGATGAACTGCCTGTTAGGGAAGGACTAAGAGATATTTGGGATATCAATTCAAGCAGCAGCCATTTTGGATTTTTTTGAACAGTAGAACAGATTGGTGAGCATGCAGAGAAGTAAGGGGGCCTTCAAAATGGGTTTTAGACCTATTCAGACAATTAAGCATTCCAGCAGAGAAATAATCTCTAAAATACCCATATCTTTAGGATTTGCATAGAAAGTCCTTTTTGGATTCACTCAGAAAGTCTCACTTTATGCTTCTTGCTGTCCTCCTAAACTTGACCAATAAGCTTTTTATGAATATTAAAGGGGAACTTATGCTCTTTGGCCAGTGCCATGTTATAGCTTGTTGTACAGAAGAAGAAGATTACAAGAAATGGAGGATGGCAGTAAAAGAGACAGTGATTCTGGCCTTACATCTTGTATTGTTGTAGCTTCATTCTCCAGGAGCAAGACAGAAAACACCCATTGCTGACACTCATGTGAGAGACTTAAATGTGTAGGTGGCTTTAGAGGCATTTATAGATCTCCAGAGCTGAACCAAATTTTGGTAGCAATCTTTGCTGACAAACTTTTAAAAATAATAATGATAAATACTGTATAATGCAAAAAGAACAAGGTACAGGGATGCACTATAGTTGCAGTGGAAGAGCTGTGCTGCTTCTTCAGAAGTATGATAGGTGCTAGTTTTGAATTTCCTACTCCTAAAAATATTTCCTTGCACTTTTCAGTGCAATTTATCCTATTTTGTACATTTGCTTAAACGTCTTTTATAAGCTGGAATTAGATGCATGTCTCCTATTTGAAACTTAATTCATTCCATACTCCAGAAGCTAGACAACGAGTAATTGGCCTTGTTCACTCAAACATATGCTAATAGGACATATAGCTCTTCCTTAATTTGATGTGAATTAATAAGAGATTTATTTGATGAGAGCTGTTTGAAGGAGATGGCACTTTCTATCTCTGAAGGATTTAAAATGTCTTATTTTTTAAAGAATCAAGACCAATCAATGTCCGAAGAATACATTTAAAGGAGAATGAACGAGACACCCAATAATGTGACTTCTTTTTCAACCAAGGTTTAGATTTGTCTCTGGGTGTCCTGGGAAAAGTTTAAGAATAGTAAGTTGAAGCTTGTTTAGTCTGGAGTACACATGCATGGTAGATTGTGGCTTGTTACATATATGGATATGCTGCATCATACGATAACCTTGCACAAATGTTTCCTGTTCTGTTATAGCTTATCAGCATTGCTGCTGCTTCTGGTTTACTGCTGCTTCATATATATATATACACACACACACATAAACCATAGGGCAAAAACTATACATTTAGTCCAGACTAAACATGGTCTTAGAGTTTTCCCAGACGCTGTTTTCCAAGGCTCTATAGATCAGTTTAAATGAAAGAGAGCATTCCTTTCCTAATGATCATTAGGAAAGTAATGGAAATATAACTGTCAGTATAATGATATTTTATGCAAATTTGTGATGTAACTACTTTTGAAATACTGTGTATAAGTCTTTGCAATTCAAAAATGATATTGTTAAACTGGAAAAAGTGAAGAAAGGAGCAAACAAAATGATTGGAGTTTTTAGGATACACACATACACATATGAGATAATGAATGCAGTGGGACATGGTAAATGTATATGGTATATTCATGGTTTAGAGAAAACAAATAGAGATTTTTCTTACACTCCTAATACAAGAACCCAGAGTTATCCAGTGTTGTTCCAGCAATCCCTTGCCAGCCATTATATCTAATCTTTCCATATAAAAATGCATAGGCACTCCAGACCTTTGAGCTCCTGACCCTCGGAAATTCTGCAGCCGTCTAGAGATGCCATCTAGAATATAGGAGAGACATCTCTCTCCCCTGAAAAAGGCCTTAGAAATGCTTTAGTCATGGTTCTCTCCTCAAAACCAAGAAACCCACAATTACCTTGCATTTTTAAAAAAAATCCGTTGGGTAGCACTTAAGTGATGCACTGAGAAGGTTGAGCATCAGAATAACTTGCAGTCTTGAAGTGTAGATTTTAGCATAATATTTCATCTGCAGGGGCTTTGTGGGTATAGAATCTTATGATTCACTTGAGGAAAAAGGAAGATGATGATGTTGAATGGTTGGGCATGTGTGGTGCAGGTCCCTTACTTCCAAAGAATTCTCACCAGAACCTCAGCGGAGGCCTACTGCAACAATTTCACATTCTTGTTAATACGTAGTAACTGACACTTTTGTTTTCCTTGAAATCTGACCAGGGTTTTTGAGTCAGTAGCAATCACAGCTTCTTTCTCTAATAAATTCAATAATTAAGTATTGTGAAGAATTGTATTTATATTTATTTAGTGTCATTTTAACCTCCTTTCAAGACTGTGGCCTTTGCTTTGCTTTTGCACTTTTAAAGTCTGGGCCGAAACTGCTGCCAGTCTGATTTATTGGAATATGCATGTTCTGGTTCAGTAGAGAGGCAGAAGCTGTTAATAAATTCTAGGCTCACCATTGGTCCATCTACTCAGTGTTGTTCATCTCCACTGGTAGCACTTCTCATGGCAATGCTGGGGTCTATTAAATTTCCTTTAGCCTGATGTTTCAGACCGGAGCTGCAACTATCTCAGATTAATGTTTGCAAGTTTCTTCCAATAATTTTGTTTAGCTTTAGTTCTATCTTAGTCGGTAACTTAAAAAAATCTTAAAATATCTGTACATATAGTAACACACATTGAAAGATAGATTCTTCATTTTCTCTATTTCAAATCATGTTTCAAATATGCTGATATATTTAAATTTTCAAGAATATGTTTGTGGTTTTAGAGAAGTGTAAGGAAGATATAGGAAAAAGATATGGAGAAGTACAGGTTGGGTCATTTCAATAGAAATTTACAAACTTCAGACATGACAAGTGTCTTTACCATGGTGTCATAGTTTAGGCTTTTAAATATTGAAGTGTATCATCCTTTTGCAATTTAGCCATTCACTCTGTTAGAAATGGTCCATATCTATTAGTTTAATAAGTTTGCCCGAGTTAATGAACTGTATTCATTAAGAAGTGGAAATCTGTATCCTGATAGTAGCTTTTTCTTAATTTTGATGGGTTTGAATGTGATCGTGGGGGTGATTACACCTAATTTTGTTTCCAGTAACAGAAATCTTTCCTGCATACTTGCAATCTGATGGTGGTTCATAGTTCAAAACAAAACAAATCCATTTCAGCCTTAACTTCTGTTAGTACCAAGTTTAAACACATACTTTCTTAGGTCATTTCTTCACACAGTAACTTTTCAAACTAATGATGGAAAAACATTTTTCTGTTCACTTTCATTAAACATGAATACATGGCTATAAATTCCATGCACGAAGTTACACGTTACAAACAAGAGGATGCATGGAGAGAGAACCTGTCAAACAGTGCTGATTGTGGGATCTATTTAAATGAGTAAAGGTCATGCTATGGTTATCGCTAAACTAGTGTGCAGTGAACTACTTCCTGATCCTGCAAATGCTTCATTGTAAAATTTGTATTTCTAATTTGCCAGTAGTTGTCTACTATCCTCTGGGGGAGCAATTGTTTAAAACTTCACCTTGATAGGTTTTTTCTTTATCTTTTAACAAGAAGAACACGCCTATCTCCTTTGAAAAATGTAGGCTGGAAATCAGTTTGGTTCCAGTTATTACAATAACATTGCACCAAATAAAGCCTTTCATCTTGTGTTCATGGAGTTCTCCATAGGTTATTAATTAATCAAACTGAAATAGCTAGTGTGGTAAGAAAGTATTAATTGGTATACATTGTGCGGAACCGTTAAAGCTACTCGGTGTGCTGCTTTTGTCCTGGCGTGATCTGATCTTTTAAGATTTCAAAATAATTGTTTTAAAATAAATAACTAATCGTCATGATCACGTCTGTACAGCCAAATCAAGAGCTGAGCAGGGCCACTGGGGACAGGCTTTTTGGAGGGCTTTCATTCATAGGGCTGCCATAAGTTAGAGGTGACTTGACAGCACATCACAACATGCTGCCCCGTAGCTGAAGCTTTCCAGTGGGTGATGTTCCATCGCTACCTCTCTGACTTAATATAATGAATTCCTATATGTTCCTATGCTAATTTCTGGGAAATTTGGAGAACTCTGCGTGTAATTAGTTGGATGCGTTTGTCCTTGGTTAGTTACTGTACTCACACTTTAAATATCTAACTATAGGTCATAACATGAAGTTGGGGGTGCAGCAAGTTCATTTTAGACTTTAGATTTAGTGGTTTTATGTCTCCTTAGAAAGCAAGCTGTATCATTTGAAATATGAAGTATATAATATCTCTCTTTTCTCTTTCCTCCCACACCACAAATTCATGTTTAGAAATGCTACAGACTAGTCCGTTAAAGCAAAAAATACCAAAATAAATGTGAATAAAAGAATCAAGTTTGTTTACTTATCCTGATTTAAAAATAAAAGATGTACTTTGACCTTGTTCTACCCACTTATAGTTACTTACTGCTGTGTGCTATGAATAGGGCTTCTTCAAGTCCATTAAATGTTATTGCAGAGTAAAGCTCACACTTGCTGCCCCATCTGTTTGCAATGATGATTTGTTGCAGCCTTGTGATAGTGCTCTTGTTACAAAGGTACAACGCTGCACGCATCAAGCACTTTACATCTGGTGCTAGTACCAGGCCTGTAGTTCTCCTAAAGCTGCTGTGGAAAAGCACTAAGAAAGTAGAGGGTCTTCAAAAGACAAAATTATAGCATGCTGTACAAAAAAGGTATCTACTTTTTAAAAACTGGTGAGAAAATATGGGGGACCAGGCCCTCCAGAAACTCCTGTGGCTACAGACACAGACCGTAGTACTCTTAGTTACTATTTTGAGCAGGCTGTGAGGGCCATGATTTGGAACTTGGCAGGAGTGGCGGGACATCCTGTGTGTTTCCTTAACGAACTATTGTTCTTCCTCACACAATAATTCAAATTCTGGTATTACTGTTAGTGATCGTGCTTCAGGGATGCTTATTTTAAAGATCCAGACAACACTGCTAGGGGGTGAGTGTGTTGCTCCTGTCCATTCCTTTTAACATCCAGTGTTAAGCCTCCTACCACATTTGCTTTATAGCTGAACCGGTGAGCACGTGTAGAATAAACAGGTGCACATCTGGCTTGGCTTCTACTTATCTTTGGGGTAGTCCAAAGTACATTTTTGTTGACTTGTGTTGGATCTACAAATCTATACTAGGCTTTGCTTTGTAGATGTGCATGGGGCAGGTATGGGGAGCAGAAAAGAGTAGGCTTTAGCATTGTAAGGGCACAACCCTGTGTATGCGTAGACAGAAAAAAGTCTTGCAAACCCAGCAATCCCTAGTCCACCATGCTAAAAGTTGTAGAACTGATTGCTATCTAAATGTGCATAGGATTTTGCCCTGAAACATGCATGGGAGTTTTGCAGTATTGGTATGTGGGGATGGCAAGTTCCAACAAGATCTGAGAAGAGACATTGTGGCTAAAGGGGTGAGATACAAATCTAATAACCAGGAGAAGTCCCTAGCTCAAACAATCCAAGGAAATGCAGTAGGATTGGAGAAAAACTAGAGCAAGAGAGGAAAAGAAAGAACTATGGTTTTGTACCTGAGGCTGATAGCACAAGGTTTTCGGTGAAGATAGCAGAGTTTCCTGATGTAGCCCTCTTTGTGGAGGCAGGATGAGTTGTAATAAAGAGGACACATACTAGGTTAATGGGATCAGAATCTACAAAATTATGTATGCAAGGTGTGTGCATGGCAAGGTGTGTGGATTCTGTGTGCCTTTTGTTAAATGGAGTACCGTTTCCATGGCCTCCATTTATGCTTTCATAGATTTAATGCTGAATATCAATTAGGCATAGTCATGTGTTTAAATAAAAAAAAGTTCGTGAATGCATAATTTAGGAAGGAAACTTTTTTGTTTTCTTTTACAGATGTGCAGATCAGCTCTCAAAATGTCTTCTGTGTCTTCCGTGTACCTCCTAAGCCAGTTGCATTAGCTCTCCAGCTAACTGAGTAGTAGAGTTAATAACTGTAAAAGCAAAAACAAACACAAACACACACAACAAAAAGCGTTCTAGAGCCACATGCCTTATGAAGTCAATGCTGGGTATGATTTTACAAGTATGTAATATATTTTTTTTCAAGTGGAAATGTTAACTGGAAAACTTCTTGGCACACCATGAAGCATTGTACAATCTGTTATTTGTCTTAGAGATAGTAATTGCAGAATGCCTATATGCTTGCTTTATATCCTCACTCTGTCTAACATGACTTGCCAGTAGATAGTTTATTCCATTTAGAAGTGCTGCAAATGGGCTTTTATTTAGATAATATGTCTTCATGAAAAATTATATTGATAGTGCAGAAATACAGAAGAAAAACATACTTTATTTAAGGGTACACTGCAATGAAACTGTGGTTTTGGGGGGAAAAAAACTTTAGACATGATGGGGGAAGATTGAAGTTCCTGATGTTCCACAAAGGTCTTCTTCCCGTATGAAAAACGTTGATTCCTGCTTGGTCATTTGTGTTTCTCGTGTTGGGATTGAGTGAGGAGGGTGGGCTTAGAACATAAATGCAACTTCTGCCCTGCCCCACCCAGCCCAAAGCTTAACCGTCTGGTGCACAGCTGAAGTTGCTCTCTATGTGGTGATCCACAGGTTTAGACACTCATCCAAGACTGGCATAAAAACAGGACATCGTTTGAGTGAAGCAGCAGCTATTCCTAAGCTTTTTTTCTTTTCCAAACCACATTAGGATGATTTGAGTAGGAGTGTGTTTAACTCCCAAAATACAATATGGATCGATCAGTAGTGGAATATTAAATCCAACTATCAGGAAGATAGTAGGGGAAAGTGGTCTCATGAATGCTGTAAAATTCTTGTTCTCTGCAGTGTTTCTGTGCTAGCGCTATTGATGTTGCACTAGCATAAACCCATGCTTGTGCAACATTGATTGTGCTTGCTAGCACATTGGGTTTCCTGGGAAACTTACTGTACTGGCGAATGCGATGGACATTGCAGGCCTGTTACATTATACTTGTGCAATGCCATTCATGCTACTGCATGGGTGCTATTGGATCTTTTCCTTTAGAAATACTTTATTATAATAATGTTATTCACAAATAGAATGAGCGTTCAATGTAGATTATGGAAGGGCATCAAACCTGCTTTCATAGTGATGCCAGGCTGCTTAGGGATGCATGAAAGTGGAAGAATTGTTACATTACCACTGACATTTTAAACTAACTTAAATGTCATTTTGAGAAGACAGATTTTCAGATATCCCAATGGAATTTATCTACATTCCCTGATAGAATATTGATTTCATTGCTAACATCTGATGGAAGACCCCTTCCCAACCCCAGAGCTTTTTATGTGGCCTATTTATTTATTTGGGCTACCTTTCATTAAAATATTCAGGGCAGCGTACAATAACACCGCAAAATATCAAAATGAGGCAGTGGTTACTTTTGGATCAGACACATCTTTGTTTATAACAATTTAGCCAGCATCTAATAAAATCCTTTTTATAAGGATTTCCTTTGGGGAAGTTTTTTAATTTGGACTGGAAAAAATTGTATCTTTAAGATGGATGGTGGTAAGGGGAGGTTGGCTTTGTATGTTAACCATCTTCTTCACTCATCGGTATCTTCTTGTGGTGTCTTTTCTTATAATTTTAGATATGGTCCGGAAAAAGAACCCCCCTCTAAGAAACGTTGCTAGTGAAGGTGAAACAGAGACCCTCAAATCTCCGAGTACAGAGAGTGACAATATTGAAAGGAAGCAAGAATTTTCTGCCGGTCAGATGCAAGAAAACGCTGAGCCGAGTGAGGCTGCGGAGCAAAATGACAAGGAGGAGTTTTGCACGCATGTCCCAGAGCCTTCTCCCAGCACTAAAAAGGACTTGAAAAGCTCAACACCAAGCGAAAAGGCTGGCTTCAATTATGAAAGCCACAATAAGGGAGGAAATGTTCCATCCTTCCTTCATGATGAGGTGACAGACAGAAATATGCCGGCCTTCTCATCTCCAGCTGTTGGGGGAATCTCTGCATCCTTGAAGTCTCCTCTCAGATCAGATGCAGATGACACCCAAGATGTGGTCTGCACGCCGTCGGGAGATCGGACGGAGACGAGCGAAGAGCATCACGCATCGCCAAAATCTGTGGACGAAGCAGCGCATGTGCAAAGTGGTCAAGCCGAGGGACAAGGTTCAAGCCCAGCCTCGGTGGCCTCAAAAAACCCACAAGTGCCTTCAGATGGGGACTTAAGGCCAAACAAATTGAAAGCAGATTTGTTGGCAAATGAGAAACCAGATACGGCGCCTCTCTCTCCAGAGCTTCAGGACTTCAAATGCAACATCTGTGGCTATGGTTACTATGGGAACGACCCCACAGATCTCATCAAACACTTCCGCAAGTACCACCTCGGGCTGCACAACCGAACCAGGCAGGATGCTGAGCTCGACACTAAAATTTTAGCTCTCCACAACATGGTGCAGTTCAGCCACTCCAAAGACTTCCAGAAAGTCAATTGTTCTGTGCTGTCAGGGGTTCTGCAGGACATCAATGCCCAAAGGCCTATCTTGCTAAATGGCACTTATGATGTGCAGGTTCGTATCTTATCCTTCCATACCTTCCTGTGCGCTTCTAACACGGAGACCATGGGAACATACCTTTAAGTCTGTGTATTAATAGAATCTCATGTGGGTGGCTTCTCTTGGTGAAATGCTTCGCATTACCACAGTGACCCTTGGTTATTATTTGCACATTTTGCCCTGCTGGAAACCTATTACTCATTTCACATGCTATTCACAGACCAGCCTAGGTTTACTTCTAAGTGTGTGCATAACAAGAAGTTGTCCCGTGAGTGTCTCTCTCCTCTGCTCCAAAGGAGGAGGTAGAGGGCTTCCACATTTAAAGTGACCACATTTCTCATATGTGATCAGGGCTAAACTAATGCCAGGCTCAGAAACCGCAGTTTGATCTTGACTGTTTCATTAAACTATAGTTCAAAGTAACCTGAGTTTGTGCTTCTCAGATGTAGCAACATATCATTTGTTGAAGCCCATCAATGTGCCGAGAAGAAGAAGGGAGGAGTTGAGACCAAGGCTCTGCCACTTTTATTTTTACAATAGCACACGTTCGTCTAGCGTTGTGTCCAGACCAGGGCAATTTGATGTACATGTTTGGAAATACATGTTTGCATTTTAGGTGCATACTTAAAAGGGATGGGCCCCAGTCCAGCCAAAGTAGTTGTCATTTAGCTAGACCTAGGGCCCTTTGGGTTTCTCCCTCTCCCTCTCCCTTTCCCCCAGCCAAGCATGTGTGTAAGTATCGAATAAAGTGCCAGAAGCAGAGGAAAACTAACAGGTTAGTGGATATGCATGCAAAAGGTTCCAGGTACAATCGTCAGAATCTCTAGGTAAGACTAATAATCACAGAACCATAGAATAATTAGAGCTAGAAGAAGCCAGTGGGTTCAACGGAACCCTGGACAGCCACTGCCAGTCAGTATAAGCAATATGGAGGTAAATGGACTCATGATCCTGGCTCAGTATAACTTATTTAATGTATTCATAACTTTTATTTTTAGGATTATAAATAGTTTTGCATTTTCCCTCCATATAATGAGTGCTTGAGGCAATATATACATGCAGAGAAGATAAAAGCCCACAATTTTTGTATAATAAAAGTGGGAAATATGTATATGGCTCTGAGCAATCTTGTCAGAAGATCTTATGCCAGCAGTGGAGTGGCACTTCCCCTTTCAGGCTTTGAGATGTATTTCTCTACCTGCTTCAGAATGTTGCACTGACATGCTGCCCTGAGCCAGTTTGGCTCCCAGGTGGAAACGGGTTACCCACGCCTGCATTCGTGGGAGAGCAGGAAAGGTCAATGCTCCTGTACAAAGCCCAGCCTGGTTTCCTGTACGGAAGCTTTTGGGTACAAACGTAGAGCCACGACCATGGATGGAATGCCTATCGGTTGTTAGGGCACAGAAATCTCTCTCTGCGTCGTCTCCAAAAGGGGAACAAGCAGATTTGGTAGATCACATCTGTGGAAAAATACAGTCCTGGGGGAAATATCTCTTTAATAATAACAATAATAATAATAATAATGGAACACAAAATTAGTATCTGGATTATTTTAAATGAACAATCTGATCCCTGCTGGTTGTTGGAAGCCATGACTTTCCTTATTGATTTTTGATGGAGCAAGGAACATTACGTCTGGAGGACAAGCTGCGTAAGTGATCTGGTGCCAAGGCTATAAGGCTTACATTTCCGGACAACAGAAAGCCATGTGAGCATTATGAACATAATATTCCATAATAAATCCAAGCACACTTCATCATCATAATAGTATGCATTGAGAAGTAGGTCTGCATATTTTCTTAAGCACAGTGTCTAGAGTTTTTTAAAAATCTGATTTTACAATTTTACTTTTGCATACATAGCTGTGGGGTACTTTATGGACAGAGGGTGGATGGTTCATACTTGAAAAAGTTGTGTATCTTGAAATAGGGAACTGATTTGTCTAAATACAAAGCCCAATTCTTACTCTCTGCCAACACACACCTACTGACTGATTCTCCAGTATCCCAGCAAAGTTGCTTATTTGACAGCACTCCCTTAGTTTTACACTCCTGCTATTACTATTATTCACAGCAAGACTGAGATGCAAGCTACAGTCCTTACTGTTTTTGCTTATATTTTGCCATCAGGTTACATGCTATTTAACAGAGTAAAAATTTCAAAACATACTGCTTGCCTGGATTTTTTACAATTCAGTTCAAATTACATGTTTCCTACAATATAAAGAATACATGTATTTTTTTTTCTTTTCCCATGCACAACCTTTTTGTTCTTTTTTTCAATGGACACTTTTTTCTTAAGCAGACTGGAACTAAGGAAAGAGTGATCCAGATCAGGACCATGACAGCCAACAAAGAGTTAAAGCACCTCTTTGTCTATCGTTAGGATCCCAGCCTAGTTTGTATCCTGAGCACCTTCTTTCCAGTAAAGAAAAACGTCATTGTAATGCCACATATTAAAGGTCATATTTATTTAAATACCTAATGATGATGTCAACCTTTGTAATTTGCTTGGTTTGGAATTTGGATTTGCCTGATTCACAGTTGGGGTATAAGTTGTTTTCCTGAACTTGCACCATAGCAGATGAGGATTTAAGGTAGAATGAGCCAGTATGACCAGCATTATGGTGTTGTAATCACACTGTAACTTAGACGAAGGACTGTGGAGAGATGATTAGAGCACATGCTTTGCATCCAAAGATAATAGGTCCAATCCCTGCCACCTCCAGGGACAGCTAGGAAGTAATTCTGCCTGAGCCTGTCAAGAGCTACTGCTGATAGATGGACCAAACATTGGAAGCAGTACTTTATTTTTCTTTGGTGGAAACGGCAACTGTTTTGGTGAATTTTAAGAAACTTTGCAATAGCAGAGATGGGAAATGACACAAGGGGGATGGGAAAGAGTTGAAAATGGAGAGAAGGAGAAATAGGGTTGGATTGGTATCTAAGCAATATCGTTTGTTTTATTTCAATTATTTTTACTACATTCATTTAAAAAATGAAAGGCCATCTACAACAACATACTAAACCCCAAACTACTTAATTCAGTTCATATATTAAGGCTTTATTTTAGTGGGTGGTGAGAGCC